AAAAAAAAAGAAAGAAAGAAAGAAAGAAAGAAAAAAAGAAAGAAAGAAAGAAAGAAAGAAAGGTGTGCTTGATGGCCTTTCTGAGCAACTGCTGGCCCAAATTCACTCACTTTTCCAAGCAGAGTCAGTGGTGTTTGTGGAGATACTTCTCAGAAAAGAAGCCCATGAACTAAAGTCAGAATGATGAATCCTATCACCAAATATTTTTCTAGAATGATATTTCCAGAATTTGGCATAAAAGGCAAATACCTCTAGCCTAAGGAAAACTGCAACTATAATTTTTGTCTTCTTGGGTTAGGTCAACAATGTGGGGAAAACTTTATCTAGTTTTAAAAATTAGTTATTTAATTTTATTTATTATTATTTTCAAAAATTTCTTATAGGACATGTGCATTTACCAGAAAGAGACAGAGTAAGAAAGCCAGCCATCAGGCTCGGGATCAAACTGTGGTCAGCCGTGTGGGAGTCCAGTGTCTTAACCACCACACCACCTGCCAGCCCCTTCACTGTAGAGAGAACTTTAAGTCCCACTAAAGTGAACTGGGAGAACACAGATTGTGTTTAGATAATAGCTAAACAATACTCTGTAATCTTGTGACTGCCTCCATGATCAGAATGTTTTCTTGTGGCGACACGAGGCAGGCCCCATGTCCTCACAGGTGTCCTCTCGTGTGACGAGCAGCCCATAGGATGTGCTTTAGTGCATTTTCATTTTGCCAACAACAACAACTGAGAATGGGCACACTGAAGAGGATTTACTTGCAGAACTCACAATTCCAGTGGCTGGAAGGTCCAAAGGCATAGGCTGGATGGCAGCATGGCAGAGGGCAGGATCTTGAGCAGAGCACCCATCCATCTATTTCTGTGACTCATTTCCTCTACTTATATAGCCACCAGAACTCAATCACAGGAGCCCCGCTCTAATCACATTAGCACACTCAAAAGCCCCAGTCTGGGACATTATGAAGGGATTAAGTTTTCACTTAACACCTTTACAATGCAATCAAGTCCAAACACATGAATTTCTGGGGGACATCCAAATTCAGACACATAAACCTGTGGGAGACAAGCCATTATCCAAACCACAACAGCATGCTAAATTGTATCTTGGAAACTCATCCTGCAGTGGACTCAATGATGAACCGCCCAGCACCCTAAAGTAATGAAGGACTTTCTTCCCAGGTACTGGGACAGTGGCAACAGACAGTCAACTGCCTGTCCCCTCAGAAAGCAGGAAATCACCCCCCAGGGGGGATGGCCACGCCGCAATCCCTTCTCCTCCGTTCTCCTCTCGGGATCTTGGGCATGCACGTACACGCACCCAGCGTGAATTTAAGCCACCAGGTCCGGGACTCAAACTGTGGTTGACTATGTGGGTCCCGTCCAGTGACATAGCCATTACGCTAACTGCTGGTCCCTGGAAGCATGTATTTCAAGAGCTAAAGGTCCAGGGACGAAGTGGACAGAGATGCAAGTGGGTCAGTTCACTTAGGACAATGGAATTGAGCTTGAATTACAGCTATTTATATGTGTCTTTTCTCCCTGTAAGTGCATGAGACTAGGATCTGGGTCAATGTCTTATTGATGCCACCATAGCTCTGATTCAGTGACTGGCACATGACAAGGCCTCAGCTCATGGTGTGGCATCGACAAATGCCAGCTTTGTCCTGTTGTGATACTGTGTTGAGCAGAGAACTAAAGGCACCAGAGTGTGGCTGGCATGTTCCTGGACATCTTGATTTGCCAGTGTGAGCAATCTTGCAGTTCACTGGGTAGAGGATGTTTCTTGAGTCAATAGTGTGCGTGAACACAGGCTGGAGAAAGCTCTTTAAAGTGTAACATAAAGACTGGGACTAGCAGTTAACGTAATGGCTATGTCGCTGGACTCCCACGTAGTCAACCGTGGTTCGAGTCCTGGACCTGGTGGCTTAAACTCACACAGGGCGCATGTGCGTGCATGCCCAAGATCCCAAGAGGAGAATGGAGGAGAAGGGATTGAGGTGTGACCACCCCCCTGGGGGGGTGATTTCTTGCTTTCTGTCTCTCTGTCTCTCTCTGTCTGTCTGGCGAGTGCACGCGCCCTATAGCAAAACAAACAAACAAACAAACAAAACAAAACAAAACAAAAACCTCTCAAAAAAAAAGTGTAACATAAAGACTGACACAATTGGAGTGGCAGGTGGCATGGTGGTTAGGGTGCTGGACTCCCACATGGTCAACTATGATTCAAATCCCAGACCTGGCGGTTTGCTTTCTGTCTCTCTCATCAAATTAAAAAATAATAATACTAAGTAAAATTAAAACAATTATGTTTTAAAAACTGACAAAATTATTATTTTTTTACAAGTTTATTTATTCACTTATCTCTCCTGAGAGAGAGAGAGAGGCAGGTGTCCCCAGCAGGGTTCCCATGCTGTGATCCACTCCTTAGTCTCAGCCAGCTGGAACCACAGGTGTGCATGTGCCCAATATGCTCAGGGAGTCCTGGACTGCAAACTTACAACCTCCCTCATGTGGGTCCAGTTGTGTTACTGGTACACTATTATCCAGCCCCCCGCAAAATGATCATTCTTGGAGCTGGAATATGGGCCCATAGAGGCTCATTATGCTCTTTTTTTCCTGCTTACTTTTTCTCTAAAATAAAGTTTAAAAAGGGTTCTATGAGCAGAGTTGAGCCCCTCATAGCATCATAGCACAGCAGACACCAAAAAGAGAGAAATCCTTGGAAACCGTTGAGTCCACATCAGGTTAGAAAGGATGGAGACTAATAACACAGCTCCTGCCTGTAACTTAATGAGAGAACATCTGTGAAAGTGCTTTGTAAACTGTGAAGCTTTGCCTACCCATTAGGGATTATTCCTCAGTTATTAATACAAACATTTCCTCAGGAGTTAGGCTTATTTCCAATCTTTTGTGTAATAAAGGAGATGAATGCCCTTCCCCTCTGGAATCTTCACCCATGAAGCAACTCCCCTTGATGCACCTTCCCTTGACATCCTGGTTTCATATGCATTAGTTTACTTCTCTCTCTGCCCCTCCTATGCAGACGCTGAAGGACGCCAGTGATAATGCACGCAAGGACTTCCATCGTGAGGCTGAGCTGCTGACTAATCTCCAACATGAGCACATCGTCAAGTTTTATGGTGTCTGTGTGGAAGGCGACCCGCTCATCATGGTCTTTGAGTACATGAAGCATGGGGACCTCAACAAGTTCCTCAGGTACAGCAAGTGGCAGGACAAGGGAAGGGTGAGCTCAAGGGAACGGACCTCAGGGCTCAGATAGCCCAAAGGCAAGAATGAGGGGTCCCTGAGAAGGGTTTAGGAATCTCTAGAACAGTTTTTCCTGGAAACTATACCAATGCATGCTAGAGAAAGGAACAAGGAGAAAGAAGGGATACATCTTTCTGCTTTGTTGTTGTTGTTCTTGTTTTATAATCAACTCATTCTACATACTGTGATGCTAATAACTCAACCCAATTCAACTTGCATTTATTGAGTACATGTTACAGAAAGTCGTTTGTCACATGTACCTTTGAGATAGGCCTTAGAGGATCTATAGGAGTTTGCCACGTAGATAAGAGAAGATCATTAGTCAAGGTAAAGGAAACCCTGAAAGCTTATACATCAAGGTTACACAGGGAAACGTTTGGTCAGTGAGAGTGATGAGTCTGAGGTTGCCAGAGTGAACTAAACCAGGGGAAAGAAAAGTAGAAAAATAGTTGAAGGAGTCAAGGCTGGGAGAGTGGGTACTTGGATGTTATTCTGAAGATGTAAAGAATAACCAGGAGGCCAGTAGTTCAGAGGATCTACAGTGGAAAAAACAGAATCTAAAATATAGAAACTTTAGAATGAAGGAGGTAAAACATGTGCCACGACAGGGGCACTAAAGACTCAGATCCTGAGATCATGAAAATATGGACACTTTCAACTTGAAAGGTTTTGTGGTAAGCAGGATCTGTAGAAGATGAAGTAGGGCCAGCAGGTGGTATAGTGGCTAAGGCACTGGATGCCCACAGGAATGATTCAAGTCCTGGACCCAGTGACTTGAAATTCATGTCAGGTGCATGTGTGTGTGTGCCCAAAATCTCAGGAGGAGACTGGAGAAGAGATTGTGGAGTGACTATCCCCCCAGGCGGTCATTTCTCACTTTCCCTTTCTCTGTCTCTGGTGACCACACAGGCCCTATGGCAAAAACCTTAAAAGAAGAAGACAATGACAGCGATGATGGTGATGGCAGCAAGACACAGAAAGAAAATTGTTAAATATAAATAGGAGTCACTGGATTATTAAATATTGTCTCACTGCATTTCTAGCATAGATCTAATTGGGTTTTAGTTTAGTGATGGCTTCTCAAGAAGACCCCTCCCTCAAGTGTTGGGTACAAGGAGCTGGAAGGAGCACAAACTAGAACAAGTGACAAATGTCTTAGAGTAAGCATAATCCAGTAGGAAAAGTAAAGCTGCTTGAAAAAGTGAAGCCAACTCATATGTTAGGAAGAGTCAACATGGAATGAGAATACAAGTAGGATTTTTGGGGGCTTCCAGACAGAACTGGTATTAACTTTCAGCTTTGGCACTTACTAGCTGAGTGACCTCAGGCAAGTGTCTTAGCTGTTCTGGTAAGAATATTGAGTTGCATGGTAGGCATGAGGACTGCACTAGAGTAAGTTATAGAAAGCTCTTGCCATAGGAGTGAGAAGGATATATTCAATAAGCAGACACTTGACTTCCTCTAGTAATAATTTCAACGGGTAAACAAGCAACCTTGGTAAGAGAAATCACAAGGAGAGCCAAGCTTGGTAAGATGAAGTTGGTAGCCAGGCTGCTTCAGCCCATCGTGGGTGGACTGGTGCTCCTTACATGGGTCTCCAAACCACTTCCTTTAGTTACCTCTACTCTCAGATCAGTCTGAGTTAGAGTCTTGCTAAGTCTTGTCTGGCTTTCACATGTTATTCTCTTTAAAGTTAAGCTGTCTCTCTGTTTTCCAGAGATTGGCAAATTTGCCGCCTGTGACATCTTGGTAGATAGCGCTACAACTTAGGAGAAAACGAAAAGGTGTTTGAGGCAACTGCTCATCTGCCTTTGCTGGCCTCAGTTTTCTTAGCTGTAAAAGGAATATAAAGACATCCATGTCCGGACTAGTGTGATTGAAAGATAGTAAGTTTTGTCCCCACATTTTTCTCTTCACTTTGGTTAAGAGATTAGAAATCCTGGGGAAGTGGCCCCTTTTCTGTAACACTGAGGCCTTTCCCTCTTGCTCTCTGTTTCACTGGCACTGAGAAGGGCTTTGCACAGAAATTAGTCCCAGTTAGTTTCATGTGTACATTAGAAGATTGACACTGTGCAGTTTAAGGTATCAGAATCAGTCAGTCACTGTAAGAACAGCAGAAAGTGGAAAGCACACTAGATTTCTATTTATTTATTTATTTATTTATTTTTTAGGTTTTTGTCGTAGGGCCTATGTGCTCACTGGAGAGAGACAGAGACAGAGAGAAAATGAGAAATTACCTCCTCCCCCCACCCCCTGAGGGGATGACCATACCACAATCCCTTCTTTTCCATACTCCTCCTGAGCTTTTAGGCCCACATGCACATGTACCTAGTGTAATTTTCAAGCTGCCAGGTCCAGGACCTGAACCATGGTTTGCCATGTGGAATCTAGCATCTTAACCATCATGCCACCTGCTGACGCTACACTGTAGATTTTAGAAATGTCATCGCGTGTTTGGTTTCATCTGGATCAGTTTTACCATCTCAAGCTGCCTCACGGACACACGAGCAATGTTTCTCCTTTGCTGAGTGGATCCCCCTTCTTTGCTTTTCTTACAATTGCTTGTGTGTGAGGAAATACCAGGTGATATTAGGAACATCACCTGGAGTGGCCAACCTGCAACGTTCTTAGACAACCCTAACACATTATTCTAAGTCAACAAAATGTGTGTGCTCTCGGAAGGACAGGGGGCAGGAGGAACTTCTGCTCATTGTCTGCCAGACCTAAGTTAAAAGAAAGGAAAACAGTTGAATTTGGTTCAGAGGGAATAGTTCACCTTATTCCCATGCTCTAGGCATCTTCCCTAATTCAAAATGGTGCTTTCCAAACACTGTAGCATAATGAATCCAAAAGCACTCACCTGGATACAATGAAATGCTTCTGTGAGCTCAGATTATGTGTGTGTGTGTGTGTGTGTGTGTGTTCCAACTTGATTCTTTCACTTTCCTGCTTGATCAGCCTCTCTTCAGCACTCCTTCCTGCCTTCTGGAAGGAAAAGCCACCTGGCTGTCCTTTGGCATCTTGTACAGGGTGTGAAGCCACTGGAAACCTACCCTCCTTGATTTCATATTCTGTTAAATTCTGGGAACAAGAGTTCGCAATGCCAAGAATCAGGTGCATTAACATTCTGCAAATATAGGCTGTTCTCTTTCTGGAAGGGAACCAAATACTTAGCTGCCATGAAAGGTTCACAAATGTCATTGTTGCTGCCCTAAGGCAGAGATGTGTCTTCTCTTATCTTCCCCCATTTTTTATTCATCCAAACACCGTATGTTGGACACCAGGTTAACCAGGTCCTATGCTAGGTGGAGTGGGAAATGAGGAGTAATACAAAGACTGCTTTCAAGGGGGTCACAGTTTCTCCTCTTAGAACCTGTCTAGAGTTCCCTTTTATAAGCAGAATGATAAGTGAATATTTTTTTCAAGTGATAACAACTAATATTTATGGAGCCTTTCAAAGCATTTTAAATGTTTTAACTTGCCGGAACCTAATAAATGATTATTGCTATTATTCTCATGTTACAATTGGAGAAATTGAGGCACAGAGTTGGTGGGTGACTGAGATAGGATTCCAACCCATACTCCCTGGCTGCAAAGCTCATTGTCTTAACCAATAGACAATCCTTCCTGATGAGGCAGCTGTTTACAACTCAAGACAAGGTGTATGTGGTGGTTAAGGTGCTAGACTCCCACATAGTGGATCAAGATTTGAGTCCCAGACCTGGTGGCTTGAAAATCACACTGGCATGCCTGTGTATGTGCCCAAAATCCTGAGAGGAGACTGGAGAAGGGATTACAATGCAGCCATTCCACTGAGGGGAAATTTCTCATTTCCTCTTTCTGTCTTTCTTTGGCACACGTCCTATCACAAAAACCCAAAAAGCAAAAGAAAAAACTAACAAATAACTCATGACAAAACTAGCATGAATGGAATTTCCAGAGCTGGGCAGTGTGGTGAAGTTGAAGAGATGAGGAACGTTGAACAATTTCCCAGTCAGGTCCTGTCAACATTCTCTCTAAACCGCAGTGCTAATGATGCTTTTTCACCTCTTCAGGAATGTTCTCCTAGAAGAGGTGAAATACCATTTTGTTTCTAAGAACTGTAGGGGTGTTCAGGGAGTAAAAGCAGAGGGTTGCTGTGCTAACTTCATGCTGCTACTCTGAGAACTTGTTTAGAAGACTCATCTACCTTCTTTGAATAGACAAATTTTCTGTTCCAAGAAAGCATTCAAAGCATCCATTGAAGAGTCTTCCTCAAGGCTGGACCTGTGGCCTGTGGTTAAGGGAGCTGAATCCCACATGGCCTACCATGGTTTAAATACCAACTCTGGGGCTTGAAAAACACACTGGGTGCATCTGCACCTGTGCCCCAAATCCTGATAGGATGAGAAAATGAAGGAGAAGGAATTGTGTGATCACTCGCCATTGAGGGTCTCTCTCTCTCTCTCCCTGTGTCTCTGTTTCTTGCTGGTTAGTGCATATGGCCCTTGGCAAATAAAAAATAATAAAATAAAAAAGAAGCCAGAAACAAGGAGGGGACATGACTAAAAATGCAGGAGTTCCCTTAGCCTACATGTGCTAATGTAAAGTAGCAGGCATCTGAGAGCCACCAGCTTCTTAGTGCCCACAGAACGGAAGACTAGGGGACAAGATTTTCACAAAAATGGCCTTTAGCACTGGCATCTAAATCTTCCTCTGCCCAGGAGCTTTGTTTTCAATAGATACCTAAAGTAGTCCAGATTTTTGGGGTCAAAATAAGGCTGGGGCCAGTCAACGACTTATTTTACTCTTTAACCACATCTGAAAGCCTGAATCCTGGCCTGGAATCTCTCACTCTTTATTTTGGGTTTCCCGTTGCTGATGTGTACTCCTTCATCATTCATCCTTCTCCTGTTGAGACCACAGTGGAGTTAAGTAAAAAGAGCGAAAATACTGTCACTTCCCTGTCCTCTCAGTGCTGGAAAGGGTTGGGCTTGGTTAACCTTTAGTGAGGTGGAATCTTGAAGATCCCTATTATAGGTCAGTTTCCAAAAAGAACGTGCAGAGGATCTGTTGTGTTTTCATGTCACTTCTCCATTTCTTTTTCAAACAGAGCATTTGCGTGCAAAGTCTTTATTTCTGGCTTCCCTAAGAAAAGCCATGAGTCTCAATTCTTCCTCACCTCAATGCCCATAGGAAGTTACAATATCTTCATTTTATAAAATGAGGAAACAGGCCCAGAAAGGTTTTGTAACTCACCTGAGGTCACACAACTGATGTGAATTCAAATTCAGCTTATACCCAAGAGCTTTGGCCACTGTACTATAGTTGTCTTATCTCTTGGAAGAGATATTGAGCTAAAGAAAGACTCATTGGATTCTACCAGGATTGTTCTTCAGTGTGAAAACACGTAGTTGGAGGCGATGGTTTCAGGATTTACTTTGTGGCAAAACAAGAAACTTCTTCTTAGACAACATTTAAATCTAGATATCTAGAAACAGCGATTTTTCTGGCATAATATCCCTTTGTGTAAGGGGATGTCACAAAGTTCATGGAAAATGCATTTTATGGAAAGAAAAAAAAACAACAACTATGCATGAATTTCCAAAAACAGTTTTGGACCAGAACAAACTTGTACTTTAATTGCAATTTTTCCAGAAATGTTTTGAAGTCCCTTTTGTATTTTTGACTAATAAGGAAATTGCAGTTTAAAAAAGTTAGAAGCCTTCCCCAAATCATGGAGCTGGATCCTGGGAGAATGAGGAGACCTCCCACTTCTCATCCAGTGTTCATTCCCTAAGAACACCAGAATGAGAGAGGTCTGGCAACAACATGCTTTGGAAATTGAGAAAAGAAAGAAGCACTGTGGGCCGGGGCCTGGATGGAAGCAGGGACTGCCTGAGTTTGAATAAGCATCAGAAAGGAGAAGGAAGGGCGAGCCAGGGGTGCAAAAATGTGACACCACGTTCTCTTGCATAATTCTGGCTCTCTCACTTTCAACTGCTCACACAGTTCTGAAACCCTGCAGATGGGGTCACCCACATTAAAAACTCACTTTAAATCCTCTTTATTTATTCCAAATGTTTCAAATGTCTTGAAAACTGCCTTCCCTTCCCTTCTTTGCCTTTGCAAGGGAGACATCCTTTGACCATGCCATGGCAGAGGCCAGCAGCCAACTGTGCCTTCATTCCTTGCCCTGCAGCGCCCCCTCAGGCCATCAGGGGCAGTAATGCCAATCTTGGCTCACAAGGCAGATTCCGCAACCTGGACTCCCTTGCTGGATGGCAGCTTCCTGAGATTGGTAGCCTTCCCTCCCTGAAGCACACATGCTGCTGAGATTCCTTAAGTCATCACACAGCTGGGAAAAGGCCAGATGTTTAAGACAGAAATAAAAGAAAATGTAAAAATATGCCACCCTTTCCTCATTCTGTAAAAAATAAACTTTCCATAGCAAAAGATTAAACATGTGACTCAAAGGAACTCTTCTGTATGTTGGCCAGTGCGTGTGTTGAGCTGAAGGACAAGGGGAGGGGTGTGCAGAAGAAAATGGTATGTCTCATGGGGAATGGATGTCTAGGCAGAGAAGGCCCTGGAACAAAGCTAAACTGGGCTGGAGGGAATCAAAGGTGGCTTGAAAACCATGCAATCCACAGATCTGGCCGAGAATCCCACTATCCCACCAGGGAGCTATGACCCATCCCTCCAGGAGAGCTGGCCTCTGCCCCAGCATTTAGTTTTTGTGGGCCTCAGTCAGCTACTTCTTCTAGTCAGGGCTCTGGCCTATGCCTGGCCTTAGCAGAGTTATAGATCCCCTAAAACATTAGTGAATGGGGTGCAGGGATACCACTCAGGTCCCAGTGGCCCTGTGGATTCCAGACTCTGGAAATGAAGCAGCTTTTTTACCTCCATTTTAGCACCAGCGGCTGAAAGGGTAAGGGAGGGTTCTGAGGAGAGAAGAACATAGGTTCCAGCTCATCCTCCTTGTCTTCCTTTAGGGCGCACGGACCCGATGCAGTGCTGATGGCCGAAGGCAACCCGCCAACTGAGCTGACGCAGTCGCAGATGCTGCACATTGCCCAGCAGATCGCCGCGGGCATGGTCTACCTGGCGTCCCAGCACTTTGTGCACCGCGACCTGGCTACCCGGAACTGTCTGGTAGGGGAGAACCTCCTGGTGAAGATCGGGGACTTTGGGATGTCCCGGGACGTATACAGCACTGACTACTACAGGGTGAGTAGCTGCGCGCACTGGAGCAGACCTCAGGGCTCTGTTGCCTTGGGAGTCCCTTGCAGTACTTGTTTGTGGTGGCCGCCATAATAAAATATCATTGACCAGGCAACCTAAACAACAGAAATTTATTTCCCATGGTTATGGAGGATAGAAGTCCAAGATGAAGGTATAAGCAGGTTTGGTTTCTTCTTAGGCCTCTCTTCTTGGTATAGAGGTGGCTGCCTTCTTAATGTGTCCTCATGTTTGTTTTTGTTTGTTTTGTTTTTATACCTGCACGGACTCCTAGTGTCTCTCCTTATGTCCAAATTTCCTCTTCTTATAAGAACATGTCAGACTGGATTAGAGGCCATCTTAATGGTTTTGTTTTAACTCAATCACTTCTTGAAAGTCTTGTCTCCAAATACAGTCACATTCTGAGGGATGAGATCTTCAATATGTGAGTTTTGGGGGACAGTTTACCTGATAATACTCATCCTGTTCCTTTCGTAGCTATCCAGTGATATCTCCAAGAGAAAAGTTCCCAATATGATAATTCTTCCAGGAAAATTCTAGGGTGTTGGAGAATTCCTGTTGGGCATGAGGATAAAGAACACTGAGGTTTAGATTTGATTCTTTGAGGTTATGGATGGGACCTTTGCTTGAGATTTGAACTAAAGTGAACTTTCCTCATAAGTAATAAAACACTAGGTCTTGGAAGTTCTCTCACAGAACATCTTGGTTCAGACTTAGCTAGTAGCTTTCATAGTGTGTATGGAACTCTGTCCTGTCTACTTCTGAGGAATTATACCAGCTTTCCTGGTGTTTCTACCCTGAAAACCACTAAGGGATAGAGTTAAATAAAATAATTCAAATTCACTGATTACCTGGATTTTGACCCCTTTTATGTTAGACTTAGCTAAAAATCTTGGCACTTGGATATGAAAGAAAAGGAGTATTTTGAGAAACCTAGGAATCATAATTTTTAGAGCAAAGATTTAGTGTGCTGATTCACCATCTTGAAACTTTAACTTGATTTTTTTGTTTGTTTTGCTTAGTTTTTCAAAGTAAGAGAAAGAAGATAGAAGGAAAGGGTAAGATTTGCTACATGTTTAGTGCCTGAGAGGATAGAAAAATAGAACTTGACTAGCTTTCATAGTAAGGTAGGACTGGAGAAGATAATGCTTCTTCTCAACTTTGTCCTTCTTGTTATTATTTATTTTTGAGAGATGCCTTTTCAGTTTATTTCTTATACCCTTTTAATGCAGCCTCACTCACCTCCAATGTCTCCATGCTTTAGCACTGCCAATATTCCCAAAGATCCTACAGTTAACCTAAAAAAATGAGCCCATTTGTTTGGTGCATATTGTGTTGTTTCCTCCCTTGTCAACTACATAAGCACTATTCACATTTTGTATATTGTAAATAGAGATCAAATTGAAAAATTATTCTCCTGGATGCATTTCTAGGAAATGTGGGTATAGTGTCAACTTCAGGTATTCAAAGGAACTTGAAAGTGCTTATCTTAAGCATAGCAATAATTAGTTTGTTCCAGATATATAAAACGTGGGAAAGCGTTCACCTGTTAACAGATGCATCTCCTCTGTTAGTTCTTCCTTGGTGGAGGAGCGGTAGGATGTCTCCCTGTCTCAGGAGTCAAAGAAACACATGAGTACTTCTCTAAGAGTAAGCTTTGCTGATCTAATGAGCATCTAAGGAAGGAATACATGGCTTAAGCAATAGCTTTCTCTCTAACAGTAAGTTAATGAAGGTATCAAAGTTCCTGGCACAAAGTTGGTGCTCAATGTTGGAACCTATTTTTTAGTTATGTCAATAGAAATACACGTCATCCTAGGACTGAACTAGGTAGAACCTAACATCCTTCTCTATAAGAGTATCTAGAAAGTTAATTCACAGAAAAAATACTGGAAATCTCAACAATAAAAAGATAAGCACCCAATTAAAATGTAGACAAAGATTTTGAATAGATACTTCTCCAATGAAGAGACAAAATGGCCAATACATTCATGAAAAGATGCTCAATCTTTAGTCATTGGGAAATACAAAGAAAAACCACAGCGGGATGCCACTTCACACTCACTCAGATGGCTTTAACATAAAGGCACAATAACAAGGATTGGTGAGGATGTGGAGAAATTGAAACTTATACATTTCAGCGAGGAACGTATGATGGTACAGCTGCTTTGGGGGAACCTTTGGGTAATTCCTCAAAATGTTCAACATAGCATCACCATATAACTCAGCAATTTTACTTCTAGGCATATGCCCAAGAGACTTGAAATATATCTTCACACAAAAACTCATACACAGATATTCACAGAAGCATTATCCATAAGCTAAAAAGTGGAAACAATTTAAGTGTCCATTGGCCAATTAACAAATAAACAAAATGTGGTAATTCACATGATGGATTGTTATTATCCAGCAACAGAAAGGAATTTGGTAGTGATTCATGCTGTAATATGGTAAATCTTAAACACATCTGCTAAATGAAAGAAGCCAGATACAAAAGACAACATATTGTATGACTCTTTTTATAGGAAATGTCCAGAATAGGCACATCCATAGAGACAGGAAGTAGATTAATGGCTGCCAGGGGCTGAGGGGAAGGGAGATGCAGGAGTGACTTCTGGGAACGGAGTTTATTTTGGGGTAGTAAAAATGTTCTAGAATTATGTAGCAGTGACAATTGGGCAATGTTGTTAGTATGCTAAACACACACGTGCACTGAATCGTGCACTGTGAAAGACCATATCTATAATATGTGAATTGTATCTCGAAAGAAAAAAAAAAAAGACTAAAAAGAAAAACGATATCAATAATTATGAACTTAAGAAGTTAATATGGCATTTGCCATCTACCGTATCCTATTATGACATGTGTTTTGTTTTGTTTTGTTTTGTTTTGTTTGTATGACTCTTTTTATAGGAAATGTCCAGAATAGGCACATCCATAGAGACAGGAAGTAGATTAATGGCTGCCAGGGGCTGAGGGGAAGGGAGATGCAGGAGTGACTTCTGGGAACGGAGTTTATTTTGGGGTAGTAAAAATGTTCTAGAATTATGTAGCAGTGACAATTGGGCAATGTTGTTAGTATGCTAAACACACACGTGCACTGAATCGTGCACTGTGAAAGACCATATCTATAATATGTGAATTGTATCTCGAAAGAAAAAAAAAAAGACTAAAAAGAAAAACGATATCAATAATTATGAACTTAAGAAGTTAATATGGCATTTGCCATCTACCGTATCCTATTATTACATGTGTTTTGTTTTGTTTTGTTTTGTTTTGTTTTGTTTTGTTTTAAGTCTTCACTTAGGTGACAGGATTCTAAAGTACTTCCTTCTGAATCGACAGGAGGAAATAATGATACTCTGTTCCTTTAGTTGTAAATGTTTTTGGAACAATCCCAGTCATAAGAAGTGTGCTCCAGATGCCATACTCATTACTTCCCTGCTCCCCTCACTCTCCCTGCACCCCACCTTGTGGTTACTACTCACTCGCAGTTTCGGAGTTTATGTGTTTGTTCCTTTCTCCCACACAGAATAAGGAAAATAAGCCAGTCTGACATTGGCCTCTGTTATAGGTGGGAAAGGGTAGAAGAAAGTAGGGAAGTGAATAATGCAAAGTAGACAATCTGATGGCAACCTAGAGGAGGTGGGGGGGGAGACTTTACAAATTTTAGTTTGCCTTTAACATTTAAAATGTGGTCCACCTTTTGCTTTAATGACAGTGAGTATTTGTCATTATACAACTGGTTTTTGGATTTGGGATATTTTTTGCTTGTTGAAATAGTATATTGGGCCAACTCTGTGGCCTGGTGGTTAAGGAAACTGGATTCCACATGGCTGATTGAGTTTGAATCCACAGCTCTGGCAGCTTGAAAGCCATGCTGAATACATGTGCCTGCATGCCCAGAGTCCCTACGAGGTGGAGAAATGGAAGAGAAGGGAAGGGGTTGGAGCGTGACCTCTGGGGGGTGATTTCTCCCTCTTGCTCTGATGAGCACACACGCTCTTTAGCTGATAAGTAAATGACAAAAAGGAAATCGTCTATCACTGGGATCCGTATTAATGTGTCAAATGGACAAGCAGAAGTTGTTGCCCTGTTTTTACAGAACTCCAGTGTGTCGTGACTGTGTCTCAGACGCTGTTGCCTTCACATCTATTATCCTCTAATGATCATTTGCGAACATAGCCTTAAGCCTATTCTTATTATGTGTCTTTATCTTTTCTATCATTGTAGTCAGGGTAATGCGTTCTCCTTATAGCTCAGGTTTCTCACTGGTCAGCACCTTAATACATTCATCTCCATTATTTTTACCCCAATCTTTCCAGTAGTCTGCCTGGATTTCCAATACGAGGGGCTGCTACAGCTGATGAAAGTTGTCATCACCAATGTTTAAAGTCCCTTTGACGTTGTAATGGGGGAGGGTCTTTGTGTCAGCCAAGGTGACCTTATATGGAAGGATTGTGATTAGGCATGGGGTCTACTAAATTAAAGAGTAACATGTTACTCTTTAATTGAGACCCGAACCTGCTAGAAGCCTGAGTCTTCTGCTCATGGTAACTGTGAACAGCCTTGGGAGGTGGCCACAGCTCTGTGCTGTCTTGGCGGGAGGGGTAGGTGGCAGCTGTTCTTCTGTCATGGGGAAGCTGGCAGCACCAGGAAACAGCTCCTCCAGGCTTCCACCCTGTTGCAGCTGAGCTAATTATACCTTCCCAATGAAGGGAGAAATCGGAACACCACATTTGCATTGAAACCAGCCCGACATGGCAGGTCCAAAATTACTCTAGCATTTATGTTCTCTGAATTGTTTTAATTAGCAGCTCTGCAGTACCAGTCTTTTATTTAGTTTTTTATTCCTTCCCTCCACTGGCAAAACCTTACATTTAGGAAACATCTGAACCAGATTTCTATCACATTCTGCCTGTTTGAGACCTAGGATCTCACTCTACTTGGTCATTACTGTGCCACAGTGGATCCATTGAAATTTTTAA